CGCTGTGTTCTTGGAGGATAACATGATCAGGGGGAGCATGGTAGCACGAGAAATCAGCCTACAGGAGAAGCGGGTACATGTACCCACTCCGATGGTTGAAGAACCATTCTTCACGCTACCTGCTGTTGTTGCACCGACAGTGCAGGACACTGTAGTGCCAACACTTATTGCAAGTTCTCCCGTGGCGACAATGAATGAACATGAGGAACCTGTCCTTGAGGAACCTATCCTTGAGGAACCTATAGAACCAAATGTTGCACATGAGGAAGAAGAACAACAGCCCAATGTGGAACAAGTGCCGGAGGCACCTAGAAGGTCTCATAGAATAAGAAGATCAGCTATTACTGATGACTATGAGGTTTATGAAACAGAAGAATGTCGGATGGGGGATGATCCCACCTCATTTGAAGAAGCCATGAGAAGCGACCACTCATCAAAGTGGCTTAAGGCCATGGAAGATGAATTGAAATCAATGAGTACCAATAAAGTTTGGGACTTAGAAAATATTCCTAAAGGAGCCAAAACAGTAGGCTGTAAATGGGTCTACAAAACGAAATATGACTCCCAAGGGAATATAGAAAGATTTAAAGCGTGACTTGTGGCGAAAGGCTTCACGCAAAGAGAAGGGATTCATTACAATGAGACGTTTTCTCCAGTCTCATGTAAAGATTCCTTCAGAATTATAATGGCACTTGTAGTCCACTATGATTTGGAGTTAAATCAAATGGATGTAAAGACGGCTTTTCTAAACGGAGATTTGGAAGAAAATGTCTATATGGCACAACCGAAAGGTTTTGTCGTAAAAGGAAAGGAAAATATGGGATACCGCCTGAAGAAATCAATCTATGGATTGAAGCAAGCTTCAAGACAGTGGTATTTGAAGTTTGATAGAACGATAAAAGGTTTTGGGTTTGAAGAAAATATTGAGGACAATTGCGTTTATGCAAAGTTCAAGAATGGAAAGTACATATTCCTAATTTTGTATGTGGATGATATCTTGCTTGCTAGTAGTGATATCAATCTATTAATGGAAACGAAGAAATTCTTGTCCTCAAACTTTGATATGAAAGATCTCGGTGAGGCCTCGTTCGTTTTGGGAATAGAGATTCACCGAGACAGGAGGAAAGGGGTTCTAGGATTATCGCAAAAGGCATACATAGAAAAGGTCCTGAAGAAATTTAGTATGCATGCGTGCAGTCCTTCACCTGCTCCTATAGTCAAGGGCGATAGGTTTGGAGAATATCAGTGTCCCAAGAACCAATATGAAATTGACCGAATGAAAGCGATACCGTATGCTTCAGCTGTTGAAAGTTTACAATATGCTCAAGTGTGTACACGTCCTGACTTAGCTTTTGTTACCGGGTTACTTGGCAGATATCAAAAGAATCTAGGAATTGAACATTGAAAATTAGTGAAGAAAGTCCTGCATTATTTGCGTGGTCTGAAAACCTCATGCTTACGTATAGAAGATCGACTCCTTGCGAGATAGAGGGTATTTGATTCGATTATTTGAAGATGAAAAAAAATCCATGTCAGAATATGTATTTACTCTCGCAGGAGGGGCTATATCGTGGAAAAGCTCCAAACAAACCGTAACTACATCCTCGACAATGTATGCCGAGTTTGTAGCATGCTATGAGGCAACGGGGCAGGTGAATTGGTTGAAAAAATTTATACCCGCATTGAAAGTGATTGATGATATAAATGAACCACTGAGATTGTATTGTGATAACAATCCAGCGGTACAGTACGCTCACAATAATAGGTCAAGTGGTGCTGCCAAACACATTGACATAAAGTACTATATTGTGAAAGATAAAGTTCGGGATCATATAATAAATCTTGAGCATATAAGTACAGAGAAAATGCTCGCGGATCCGCTCACAAAGGGCTTACCACCCAACGTGTTCAGAGAACACGTAGCCGGTATGGGTTTAAGGGAAAGCCTATAATTCCCGAACATACGAAGGGCCCAAAGAAAGTTTACGTTTCAAAACGGAGAAGTGTATTGTGGCTGTTAGTCTAACGGCACTAATTGCTGTGACGATGGGACAGTTCTATGCACTAATCTGTGATGAAATAGGATGGAAACAAGAAAAATATGAATTGAAAGTTTTGAGTACGAAATTAAAGAACGAAGAATAGATGAGAGATCGAGGGGGAGAATGTTAGGTTTGATCTCCCACGCCATTAGGCCCAACGGCTTTTGGGCCTTGTTCTCGCGCCCTGATCGGGGGCGCCCAACCCTACATGGTTGGTGGGCCCCCATCGCACAGTGCTATAAAGGAAAGGTGGGGGCCGGGGCTCGTAGTACGAGGTTGACCGTACCGCCAGTCACCCCATTGACATCCTAACCCTAGACCCGATCTTGAGAAGGGGCGCTGCCAGCGACGGGAAGCACCACCGACGCCGGCAACGCCACCCCGACGCACACGCCGCCGCCGAGGACTCCACAGCGCCGACTCCCTCTCCACCGAACGTCGCTGCCGGCGCGTAGATGGCGTCTGTCAACGAAACCCCGGCCGGAGCTTCGACCACTACGGCTTTTGATGGTTTGCAACCTATCACCCCCTTTTCTCTCTGTCTCTCTGTGAATCCCGAATACCTATTCCTACTACCAATACATCCCGATCCGATGAACATGCCTAAAACGAATTCTAACATCTGCATCCCAAACTCGATCTTGCCAAGTTTGAACCTTGGACTCGCTGGATTGGAATTGACAACAGGGAATTGAAAGGCGATGCCAACGGCAAGCAACCATCCATGGGGAAAAAGTTTTCAGGGAAGAACAGGTAATTTTGTTCTTTGCCTTTCATCTTTTATTGTGGATCTTAGCTGGGTTTTGGAATTACGATATGTCAGAACCAAGTTATATATATGCACATTGTATTGTATTTGTTGGAGTAAATATTCTTGTTATTACTAAACTGTAAGGCTTGCAACTTGAAAATTTTATTATGCGGTCCATATGGCTCTGAAAATTTTAGTATGCAACTCTGCACGAATACTAATTAACCCAATTAACCAGCAACCATGGATGAATTTCAGCATGTTTATCAAACAAAAAGAAGAATAAACATACGGATGAGTGAATGACAGCTTTCGTTTCTGAATTTATTTACCAGACAATTTGCATACCTGATCAGTAGCACTGCACTTCTAGCGCTTGTAACTGATACATATATGTATTTGTTTGTCATCTTGCTCGATTTTGTCCAGGGTTTTATTTGCTGAAATCCATGGTTTATGTTTCTTATGTATGCAAGAAATATATGATGTTTATCTCTTATTGTCTGATTGGAAGGTAGTTTTTTTTTTTGTGCTCCATACATATTTGACTCGACCCATATTTGCATCTTTGTGATTTCTACACAGTCAACCCATATTTGTTGTCAATGATATTTCAGGATTTCAATCAAGGCCGGTGACAGAAGTTCAGTCAGCCTCACCAAATCACATAGAAGCTTCTTTAAGAGATGTTCACACATGAGGGCTCCGAATTTGCAGCTACTTATTGTGATTCTTCTGGATGTTACTGGTCATTATGGTATGTGCATCCTTGAAAACCCAGTGCTTCGGTTGTTATTATATGGAAACTGAAATTTATTCTATGCTTTATCAGGTTTGAGGGCAAAATACAGTGCTTGAGCGAGCCTTTGTGCCTAATGGAATACCTTTTGTTTTAGATGTGCCAACAATCATTTTTGGTGCTGATGTTACCCATCCTACAGCAGGAGAAGATTCCTTGGCTTCTATTGCAGCTGTTAGTTTCTTGTTCTCTGCTAACAATTGTTTCATTCAAATGCTGTATGAATTTAAAAGTAAATTTCACTCCACATTTGAAGATTAACTCCCAATGCATGGAAATGTCATGACACAAAGTAATGGAATAGATGGTGCAACCTTTTGCAGGTGGTTGCATCCATGGACTGGCCACAAGTCACAACATAAAAAGCTCTGGCCTCGGCAGAAACACATAGGAAGGAGATGATACAGAATCTCTTCTAGACTGGTATAGATCCAGAGAAGGGCACTCCAGTAAATGGTACAACGATAAGGCAATCTGTATCGATTGTGTTCATAAGAGCTGTGAATGAAGAGGTGATAGTTTGAAACTAAGGTGACTCTAAATTATGCGCTGCAGGGAGTAAGTCTTGGATGAAGCCAAACTACTTTTGTTTTGTTTATTTAGGGATAGAGTAAGTGAAAGACAATTCAGCGAGTTGTGCCTCTATGGAAAATGGGCATCGACCCCAGTGCCTCTATGGAAAATGTGGTTCCTAACTTAGTTGCAGAATGTTAGATGGATATAGCTAAAACTAGGATGTGGTAGGTGGCATTGCAGTACAATTTTTTTTTTTGCCCAAGACTGTACATGTATAACTTAGGAGTAGAATGTGTGGAGTATAATGTGTGGTAGTATAATTATAGATGGACTTGTACTTTGTGAGGGCCATAACTCAGTGCTGTTTTAATTTGCTGGTTATGGATGAAACGTCCATAATTAGCTAGGTGGTTGTATTTTAGTCCGATACGGGCTTAATAGGATTATTACCAACATTAACTTATATTATGGATGTCATGTATCATTCCCATGGTCATTTCTCATGAATATTTCATAAAAAAAAATTCTCCCGTTGCAACGCACGGGCATTTTTGCTAGTAACTAATATAATATACTCAAGGGATTATGTAATTGGGCATTAGCAAAACAAGGAATAAAAGGGGTTTGCATAAAGATAAATGTCATCTATCACTCTACATCTAAACTTAGCATAGATAAGTGATTAGCATGAGCATAGAGTTTTTTTTTTACCCCAACATATACACCTCTGTAAAATAACAAAACATAATCTTGAAACTTTAACAGAAGTGGAGAATTGCAGACTGCAGCTGGCTCATAGTGGCAAGTAGATGACGCCGCAGTATAATACTAGCAGATTTTGAAATGGGAAAACTGTTTGTCCTGTCAAACGTATTGCGTGATGCTCATTTGCTCACGCAGTCCCGAAAGGACGACATCCCGCGTCCACCTTGAACTTGAAGCAGTTGATCAAATCCAGCAGGTTCGCGTGCGACGATCCGCCTTTCTCCACGGCAGTCCTGGCCTTGGCCGCAAGCCCTCGTGCCCTCCTCCTCCGCTCCTCCCCCTCGTCTCCTCCGTGCATGATGTCCCTCACCGCCTTCTCCACCACATCTCTGGCCACCACGATCTCCTTCTCCTCAAGCTGGTACATGAGCGGCTCCGTCACCCCGACGTCCACGCCGATCTCCAGCACCTCCACAGCGAGCTTGGCGTTTAAGAATTGGTCTGCGAAGTGCGGCCACGTCACCACCGGCAGCCCGGCCGTGACGGCCTCCATGGTCGAGTTCCACCCGCAGTGCGTCACGAAGCTGCCGGTGGCTGCGTGCGACAGGATCAGCACCTGGGGCGCCCACCCCTTGATGAGCAGGCCGCGCCCGGCGACGCGCGCCTCGAGCTCGTGTAGGAACTCTACCACATCCTCGCCGTATTGCTCGGCGTTCTTCACCACCCAGATGAACGGGTGCCCCGAAGCCTCCAGCCCGAGACCGAGCTCCACGACCTGCTTCGGCTGCGCGTGCGCGAGGCTCCCGAAGCTGACGTACACGACGGAGTTCGGCTCCTTGCCGTCGAGCCACCGGAGGCAATCGTCAGCACCGATGGCGGCGGTGTTCCCTCTCGACGCCAGCGTCGCAGTGCGCTGGTGGAACAGAGACACCGGCCCGACGGTCCATACCTTCATCGCCCTGGCTTCCGCGTAGTCGGCGACGTACTCCGGCTCCATCTCCACGAAGCTGTTGGTGACGATGCCGTCGGCCTCGGCCAGCACTTGCTCGGCATCGTCCGCGAACTTCTCGAACCCGGGGGTCCCCCGGAAGAAGCCAGGAGCCTGAGCCCTCGACACCTCGATCCTTTTCTCCAGACCGGGCACGACGACCAGCTCGTGGTCATCGGCCACGCCGTCGTACGCGTTGAACCTCTCGACGTTGTGCTGGCAGAGGAGGCAGAAGGCGCACATGCTGAAGAAAGAGAGCCGCGGGACCTCGAGGCTCGCCGCGAGCTCCCTAGCCCACGGGTGGCAGAAGTCCGCCACGACGCACGTCGGGTACGGCGCGTGCTCGCGGAGGTGCCGCTCCAGCGGCTCCCGGAGGCGCGCCAGGGCGCGGAAGTAGTTGGTCCAGAGACTCGGCGGCACCTTGTCGACGTCGTCGGCGCCGTCGGGTAGCCCTTCCGCGGCGAGGTCGAGCGGGAGCTCCACGAGTCGGACCGCCAGGCCAGACTTTCGGGCTAAGTCGACGGTCGGCCGGATCCGCCCGGTGTTGGACGGGGTGACGACGACGCTGGCGAGAGCGCCGTGGGTGGCTAGCAGCAGCGCGGTGTCGACCGCCGGGATCAGGTGTCCCTGAAACATCAGCGGGATGAACACGAAGTGCGCCTTGACGTCGCAGCCGCCGCTGTCGTTCGCCGTCGGGCGGCCATTCGCTAAGTCTTCTATTGCCATCTGGCAGCTTTTCAAGCTCGATCCGAGAGGACCTACTGTGTTAAGTGTTCTTGCTTGCGTGTTTTGGACTTTCGATAGGATTCTTGTGTGTTAGTCCGATGTCTTAAATAGGAAACAAGGTTTTGCGGGCGGCGAAAACAAAGGTGGTGGAGGCATCGGCGGGAACGACGGTTCCAAGGCCTGATGCACATCATCAACAAGGCTATATCGCACCTGACTAGACTAACTGAGAGAGACCGCAATTTCATTGCCACTACTACATTTGTACTGATCGACTGCATAACAAAAGGACGCTGCTTACAAGTTACCAGTGACGTAAACAATGATGTTGCAACTCACTCTAGAATAAGAGGCAGTGTAGGTTTGGCATACAAGGCGTTGTTAACGCTCTTAAATGAAATGGGCAATTGCTCATGTTTCTTTAAATCAATAGCTAAAAGTATTCTTTATGTCACTTTGTTAAATAAAGCAAGGCAATTATTGCTAAAATCTCAGTTAGAGCATCTCCAACAGTTTGGTAAAAATCACTTGCCAAATGTTGTGTTTTGGCAAGTTGCTATAATAATATACCAAGTGAAAAATAAGCTCTCTCCAACAATTTCCTATTTTTAACTTGCCAAAACAAAAAAAAAAGGAGGGCCCACCAGTTGAGGTTGTTGACTGGTACACCCGACGGCTTCCCTTCGTTCCTTCAAGCGACCCCCGACATCTTCCTACTGTTGAGTGTACACATCATAAAAATATGACTACACATGATGCGGTAAAGAAATAAAGGGGAACAGTACCATCGTAGACCACATGACATATATATCTACTTGGGCATGAAAACAGAAACCATGGACAGCGTCACCACATCAGATCAACGGCAGCAAACCATGAGAACCATCAGATCAACTACAAGTACTGACTACCTACACAACATACACGCAGGAACATGAAGGAGCGATCTAGTGGATGACATTCAACAATCCATACACAACCCTATACAGAGAGCGACAACAGACAACCCTAAACGACGGCTACAGCTGAACAAGAGGTGGAACTCAGGCTACGAGATCGAGCGAGCATGGAGATCGACGGGGAAAAGATGAAAGATACCTGATTGCGGAGGCGGCGGGACCTGATCGGGGTTCTTGGCGACGACGGGGCTTGGCGATCTCCAAGGACCGATCGGGGTTCTTGGCGGCGGCCGATATCTCCAAGCAGCGGCGACGAGGACTTTGGTGCAGCAAGCAGCCCGGTTCTTTAAGCGCCGTCGCAAGCCACCGATCGCGCGACACGAAGTGGATGCGGTCAACACGGATGGATCGAAATATATGGACACCGCCGCCTTTGCGGTTGCGGGAAAGAAGAGGCTGAATTGTCGAGCAGGGAAGGAAGTCGGAGATCGGCGGGATCAAGATGGCAAACCGATACCATAAATATACTGTATGTGGCTGACGACAGATAGCAAGTCGGGAAAATTGGCAAGCAACTTTGGCAAACTGTTGAAGAACGATTTTTTGCATGTTTTGCCAAATTTTAAAGGATGGCAAGTCATTTACCAAACTGTTGGAGATGCTCTTACCCTTTTAGAGAGCTATAGGATACCTGAACTCTGCTGCTTTAGAGTTCACAGTACAGAAATAGTTTTTTTTTAAAAAAAAAGCCCGCGCTTTTTCTTCCACCAGCGGTTCATAAAGTGTAGGTGCCAGTAGGAACGAAAGCATAGGCCCAAGGACATGAACCAGTCAGTGTAGACAAGTTTCCACTAGCGGTTGTATAAGGATACCACCAATATAAGTATATCTATTTGTTATGTCGATGGTTCACCTAACCTACCATCAATATTCGTTCGCTTGACTTAAAAGCCGTATTTTTTCAGTCAATGAACAATATTTTTCTCTCACAACAAATCAGCCAACAGTACTTTCAGCCATGGCTTATCAGCCAAGTGAACAGGACAATTATAAATAGATATCAACATGGCAACCAGTTAAGACTTAAGAGAACCGCTATATATTTATTTGTACTAGCGGTAGATTAAGAAAACAGCTATGTAAGACCATTTGTACTGTCGTTTTTCTTAAGCCACCGACAAATATTTCTATAAACACTCTTAGGGCGCGATTGGTTGCCCTGCTGGTGGCGTCCAAAGGCCCATCTGGCATCGTTTCGTGCACTTTGATCTTGTTTGGTTCATTGCCTTGAACCATTTGCCTGCTTCCTTCCACCACCCCCCCCCATCCCGCACGCCTCAGTCATTTCGATTTGGCCTGCCCTCACGAGCCGGAATGGCTTAATTCACGCATGGTGCAGGGGGTCCATGTGTCATACACCCAAAACTCTGATGCATGCATGCAACCAAACACGATCTCGTCTCGTACTAGACCAACAACAAAGACAACCAAACACAGCAAAATGTATAGTCTCATCATGGCTAGAAAGAGCCTCGACAGCCACTCCATCCCGGCTCGCCGACCCCGGAGCAACCAATCACGCCCTTATTCCCCGACGGCAAAGTATGGCACTTTTTTTTTTTGCAAAGTTCTCGAGTTTACAAACATAGCCTAAAATATTACTGCTATGTCCAATTTTTTTTTATAGTGGAGTTGTGTTTTCTTCTTTATTTCTCTATTATATAACTTGTTTGCTCCTCTACTTACCATTTTGTTTTGGAGCATTTTTATAAAATTCTCTATATATATGATACTGGCAAACTCACTTATTTCTTACATGGCTCTCTAAAGTTTAGAGTACCCTATTTACAATATTCGTCTTGTTCGCTTGGCTTATAAGCCGTACTTTTTCAGTTAATGAATAGTATTTTCTCTCACAATAAATCAGCCAACAGTACTTTCAGCCATGGCTTACCAGCCAAGCGAACAGGGCAATTATTCTAAACGCTAAACAGTAAACAGTTAGGCACCTACCTGTTTAGCTATTATTTGACCTAAACGGTCACTTAAATGGGTAAAACGGCCGTTTAAATGGACTAAACGGCAAATTAAACGAAAACATAGTACCACTATGTAGCATTTATACAGTGTGTAAATGGGCTAAATGACCGTTTAGGTGAATAGTGCCTATTTGACACTAGCTCAGAATTTTATGTCTTATATCTAACACTCCCGTCACTTTTGCTAGCCATCTCGGTTAAAATGTTGAGTCACCTTGTCAGATGTTTGAGGATTGGATGGAAATGCCCCTAGCTGCTTGTTCTCTCACCCTTTCCCTCCTGTAGTTCCTGTGGCCCATGCAAGCGGATCCCTGTGGCCATGCGGGCCAGGAGCCCAGGAGGCATTCACACTCGCATCCTTTGCAGTCCACAGGAGCCAGGGCACGGGAGCCGCTCGGCTGCTTGGGCCATGGGCGCCTCTCAGGCCAGTTTCGGGTGCCGCTCTGTGCCCTAGCCCCTAGGCTAGGGGGCCAACGGTGGTGCTTAGGCCAGTCAGGTAGGTGCAGGGAAGTTTGCTAAAAAAGGCAGGTGCAGGGAAGTGGCATGGGCACGTTGGCGTGGCTCAGCTATGGAGCATGCTTCCACCGTGTGACCAGAAGTGTAGTCAAATCTAAAATGGGTCTTCAATAGCATGTTTGAATACTATTTGCCAAATAAAAGCAGATTAAATCTGATTTGATCCAAATTTTATTTTTTAATCAAGGGCTAAAAAGGTTTTTCTCAAGTAAATGGGCACATTGGCGTGGCTCAGCTATGGAGCATGCTGCCACCGTGTGACCAGAAGGGTACTCAAATCTAAAATGATCTCCGATATATCAGTCTCCAGCAGGTATTTATACAGGAGACCTATTTTAAGTGTCAGGAGAGATATAACATAAATCTAAGTATCGTCTCTCATAGAGACCCATTTATAGAAATGATTATCTTTTGGATCTTATTGTTGGAGAAGACAAAAAATGAGTATTGAACCTTTTGCCTGTAGCGCTACCCAAATATAAAATGAATCTTGTATTTTAGATGCCGTTGTTGGAGATAGTATAAAACCCGTTTGGTTTGAAACGTGAAGAATCAGCCTGGGCAAGCAGTGTCGCTAGGCGTTCGATTTGAACTACTGAGGGTGGCCCTTATGGCCTTACAGACATGGACACGGGCAAGGCCATAGGCAACACGAGCTAGGATGTGGTGAAGGCTTGGACAACACGGGCAAGGCAAGACAATGGATGACAGTCGTGGGAGACGATGATGGGTGGCCTCACGAGTCACGACTACAACGGAGGGAGAACCGCAGCGGCGAGCACACGTTGATTGGGTTGAAGGGTGAGTTCGTTATGTTTGTGATTTTGTTTGCATCTGTGAACCATGTATGCAGCTATGGAGCATATGTATGATTCTTCTTCATATGCTTTTTCTTGAAGAAAAATCATATATATAGCATAGCTGTACACATCAAGGTTAATATATGCAAAGAAAATCACAAGCTCTATGAAGCCCGTGTATGGTTATACTGTGAATATTACGTGAGATGTTAGCTTATCTGGGCCAACCGATTAAACCCCTCTAGTCCGACGGGGGGGTAGTCCTAGTAAAAAAAAATTGTGCAATACTATAAAATCCAAACAAAGGTTCTAGTAAACTTAGCTATAAATTTGAAAATTATGATAATACATTTAAAAGGTTGAAACTTGGATAAATACTCCTCCATACTAGCTAGGATGTGGTCGTTGGAGGACATGATTTAGACAATCGATGACAGGAGTGATTAACGATGATGGGTATTTTCCTGTTTCACTTTATTAAATAGGGAGGAGAATTGCCTATCCAACAAACGTTGATTGGGTTGAAGGGTGAGTTCGTTATGTTTGTGATTTTGTCCCCATCTGTGAACCCTGTATGCAGCTATTATTTTGAAGAGCTGATTGGATTCATATGCTTTTTGGAAGAAAAATCATATATATAGCATAGCTGTACACATCAAGGTTAATATATGCAAAGAAAATCACAAGCTCTATGAAGCCTGTGTATGGTTATACTGTGAATATTACGTGAGATGTTAGCTTATCTGGGCCACTCATGTATGAATTTGTGATCCTGAAGTATGCATGTGTAAATCTATTGTGAGGTTCTGCTATGTCAAATTATTTGAATTGAATGCATGCATGTCTCACAACTCATTGAGATACAACTCTTTTGTTTATGACTTAGACTTATTTTTCATATAACGTGAATGCAATATAATTAAAGGATTTCCAATGGTTCCTTCTCAGCTATAAGAATGAAAGAAAAGGAACATAAGAGCATCTCCAAGAGTTTTCAAAACTCACTTCCAATCTTGATTTTTTGCAACATTGAAAAAACCTACTCTCCAACAACTCTCTATCTCAACTCTCAATCTTTCCGCACTCGGGATCCACCTAATCGCACGCACAGATAAATATGCGCGCGTATCCATCGGCGAATCAAAAAGTGAAAGAACGTAGTAAAGAATAATGAGTAGGACAAAGTTCCTAATACAAATGTACGAGAAAGAAAATATAATAATGGTTTGGTGATTTAGAAATAGTTCGAGATTCCTAATACAAAATTACTTTCTATCTTTTAAAAGCAAATTTTTAGAAACAGTTGAATAAAGACAACAAATATGCTTCTAACCTTTTTTAGTCACTTGAAAATTTGTTAATTTACCAAGGGATTTTTAGAAACTATTCGAGAGGCTCTAATATAGCAATCACTAACAAGGAGAGGCTTGGTAACAAAATAAAAGTGGGCAAAATTCTATCACTAGCAGCAAGGAAGAGATTTTTTTTTTCCGTGGGAGACGAGATTTTGATAAATATACTACTGTAATTTTTTTTCCTTGTTTCTATAATTTTTTTTTGTGAAATTGAATTGATTCCTGCTAGTTTCTACATGTTCCCTTTGTTTTCTGCCAAGTTTTGGATAACCTGGTTATTCCTTTTTTTATATTATATTTATTTACAATGAAAAAAGTTGCGCATTTTGTGCGGTAACCACCAGCCCACCCACATCGGCCATAGCGTTTCCTCTCCCACTGTACCATCCTCGTCCCCGCCGGCGCCGGCAGCCATGTCCATGCTCCTTGTCCAGAAACAACACCTCCCTCTCTCCGTCCGTCCCCGCACGACCGTCACTCTCCTCTCGTTGCGCCACCGATGCCGTCTCCCCACGACTCGATTCTCCGCCGCCGCCGCCGCCGCCGCCGACTCGGCTAGCCGCGCTGCCCCCTTCACCGTCGAGGACTACCTCGTCGCCACATGCCACCTAACCCCTGTGCAGGCGCTCAAGGCCTCCAAGGTGCTCTCGCACCTCAAGTCTCCCTCCAGGCCCGACGCCGTGCTCGCCTTCCTCTCGGACCTCGGTCTTTCCGAGGCCGACATCGCCGCCGCCGTCGCCTATGACCCCAGGCTTCTCTGCTCCGAGGTCGAGCGGACGCTGGCCCCGCGTCTCGTGGAGCTCCGGGACCTCGGCCTCTCTCCGTCCCAGATCGCCCGCCTCGCCCTCGTCGACCCCGCGCGCTTCCGCCGCCCCACCGTCGTCTCCAAGCTGCAGTATTACGTCCCCCTCTTCGGTTCCTTCGAGAACCTCCTCCATGCTCTCAGGAGCAACGCCTACCTCCTCAGCTCCGACCTCGAGCGCGTGGTTAAGCCCAACGTCGCGTTCCTGATGGAGTGCGGGCTAGATGCTTGTGATATTGCCAAGCTGTCCATACCCGTCCCTAGGCTGATCACCACCAACCCAGAACGCGTCCGGGCAATGGTGGAGCGAGCTGAAGCTGTCGGTGTGTCTCGTGGCACTGGGATGTTTAGGCACGCACTGCTGGCTGTCGCGTTCCTCAGCGAGGAAAAGATCAAAGCTAAGGTGGAGTTTTTGAAGACAACGTTTCGGTGGTCGGATGCTGAGGTGGGCGTTGCGGTTTCCAAGCTGCCATTGGTGCTCAAGCACTCCAAGGACAGGCTGCGCCGCATGTCAGAGTTCCTGATCACCAAGGTTGGGTTGGAGCCAGAGTACATTGCTCACAGGCCTGCTCTGCTTACATATAGCTTGGAACGCCGCCTCATGCCCCGGCACTATGTTGTGAATTACCTGAAGGAAAATGGATTATTGGAGCAGGACCGGAGCTACTACACCGCTGTCCAGGTGAGCGAGAATGTCTTCATGGAGAAGTTCATACGCCCTTACAAGGAAGCTGCACCAAGCCTCGCCCTAGATTATGCTGCTGCTTGCAGAGGAGAGGCGCCCACTACCCTCAGATTGCATGAACCCAGCACCGACTTGGCAAGTGTTTAACCCTTAGTGAGCAGCAATGTTTTGACACTTAGCAGTGAGCTGGTAATTTTGTTTCTTTTCTTGCCTAACTGCTACATCCAGCTGCTGTGTTTGTAGAATTGACTTCTGGTAAATAAGATGATGCTGCATGGTTATGATCAGGGCTAGAAGCCTAGATTTATCTTTGCTCTCTGTTGTTGAAGTTGGCTCAAACCTTTGTTGTCAACAGTTTCAAAAGAATCGTCTGCCATAATTCTATTATGTATATGCTTTTCTAATATAGTTAGCATAAACTTTACTCAGAGTTTAGAGAATGGTGGGGTTGGACTGTGGAGGGCCTAGGCCCGGACTCATAATACCATGTAGAGAGGTAAATCAAGCGGAGACAATGAATTAGGGGAACACCTCACACCTATGCTGAGGATGCCTTTCATATATATAGCCATATGTAAAGGTTAGTACAACTTGTGGTATAAGCAATGTGTTAGGCTATACAATTCTAATAGTGGATCTTCCCAATGGCCTTGGACCTCAGGGGCTTTCTTGAAGCGTAACGTAACCAGTTGAAATTGGACAAATTTCATGGCTCCCTTGAAAATTATTTTTTATACTTTTCTACAGAAAATGAACCGTTTACCATTGGATTTCTACAAATTTCCTACAACAAAACCATCCTTTTCTTGGATTCCAGTAAAAAGAACAAATAAATATTGTAAGAGCTGCACTCTACTGATACACGGTACAAAGAGGTCAAAATTCTACAAGGCCTTCATCCTGCAACTCTGAGAATCAGCTTGTAAGTTGCCAGCAAGATCATTTGTTGTGGGATCTTCAGTGACGAAGCTCCCAATCTTGAGTAGCGCCTGAAAATTCAAAATCTGTGGCCAAAATACGGAACGCCGATTGAACAATTGCACATGAATGGAGAAGTACAGAACCTCAATAGCGATATTGGTCGGTGTTAGCATAGAAACATCACCGTGGCCCTGCTTAGCTGCAATCTCTGCACAGATAAATGCAGTGTGATGCACTGTTAGGCAATGTTTTATGCATGAAGGGCAGAAACTTGTGTATTGCGAAAGAACGAGTGCCATATGTAATAATGAATATAGGGAATATTCTAGAGATGGAGACCTTGTAAGAAATTATGTTTGTCCTAGGGTTTCTCTTGAAGCATCACCTCTTTGCTCCGCAAGCATACTTAGTTTTGAGAAAGCCTAAAGCAAAAATATTTCAGCGATTTGAAGTATTATGGATACTCAAGCAACACATCTTGAAGGATCAAAGTAGCTACCGCTGTGTATCGATCATCGCATGGCTGGTCTAAAAGAGGACGAGAAGCAGTCCCTACTTGAGCAATGCGCTTCGCGAGGGCATCCAAAGGTACATCCAACCAAACAGATAGACCTTTCTTCATGTAATTCCTGAATTTATAAGAAACAATCGGAAATATTATTTGTTTGGGAAGACACAACAAGGTCAAAATCACAAGACATGGAACCAGATTTTTTTTTTCAATACCAGTTAATTGGCCTAATAACAGCACCACCTCCAGTTGCAACAACTAGTCGCCTCATTGAGGACAAATCCCTCAAGGCACAACTCTACAACAGCACAGAAACAATAAACTGTCACTGCATAAGCCTTTATGCTGGGACATCACAATTTCGAACATCAGAAATTATACAAATCTTGCCAACATAGGAAGGAATATTCAGCAAACAATATTCAAAATAATCAAGAAATATATTACCTCATTCTCTCTGAAAAACGCTTCACTATGAACCTTGAATATTTGAGCAACAGAAGGCATGCCGACTGCTTGTTCTACCAACTTATCACTATCAAAGAATGAATAACCCAGAACTTCAGCTAAGATCTTCCCCACCGTACTTTTTCCAGAGCCCATCATTCCTTCAGTATGAACACGCCCTTGTTAGTTACTGAGGCGAAGACAAGCCAATATGTAATTTTGGTCAAACAGAGAGGTCTCGGAAGTTCAGAACTTACCAACTAGGTAAATGCACTGCCCATTCAAGTGGAATAGAACTTCTTCAGATTTCCTCTGCAGTTACATTAGGAAAAATGGAAAATACATATCACAAAGATGGCCAGAAAGCAAGCAATACATGGTGCCATGTTTGGTTTCATTCGTATAAGAAATTTGAATCTGATGTACTCTTATTTACCTTTAATAGCAGGGCCTCGTCAGCTGAACTGTGCATGCTCTCGTCAGCTGAATTGACGCACCAGAGCGCGGCGACGGGCTTGGTCCCTCGAGTCCGCATGGCCATGGCCTTCGCTCCGGCACCGGCAGGTCCTCCGACCCGCAGGCTCCCAGCCCGCGCCCGCTTCTCCCTGCCGCCGAGGATCGCGCTCCGGAGCCCAACGGCGGCCGCCGCATGGACTGCATCGCCATGCCTGCACCTGCCTCCATCGGCCGCGGCACGCTGTGCTACACGGCACAGAAGCAGCCTGAGACGCTGGGGGAGCAGAGCACGAGGCAACGGGAGGCGCGCGCGGGCGAGCGGTCAAGCGGGTGCCCGTGGATGCGCTGCGAGCGGAGACGCAGTCTTAAAAAGCCCGATCGAGCTGACCGGTTCCAGGACGGAGGACGAGGACGTAACTTGTCATATGTTGACTTGGGGCGACAGTTCGGTTGTACTCCCACGTGAGAAACGAGATTTGATTCTCTGCCTGTTGGTGTCTTGGTGATTTCCTTACAGCGTCTATCTATATTCCAGTCCATGCCTTTCACGCTAAGCAGATCGATAGCAAATATATCCGTACGTTACAACAAGAAGAAATAAATCCTGGTGCATCAGCCTGCTTACTGAATTTATGACTTCCATGTAAATTGACCTAACATAATAGCACTATGTATTTTACGCTTTAAATATTATTATTATCAGACACCAAACTTGACAAAGACATGTGAGTTCTGACAGAACATTCATATCTAATAGTGTTACTCTCTGCAATATTGAACTAAGGGTAACTCCAACCAACCCCTCAAATTTTAGCCCCCTACTCTAAAAAATAAGGACCCCTTGTCCAGATTCCAACCCTCATTTCTTCCTGCTCTCCAACCGAACTCTTATTTCAGGCTCTCTATTTTCTCTCACCTATATTTTATACATAACTTGTAAATACCAAGTCTAGCATTTTATATCTAAACTACGTTAGTATTATTGGAATAGATATTTCTTAATGATAATTTTGTATGGCTAAATATTGAAGGAATTATTTTTTCAAATAATTTAGAGCTATATTTTTTTATTTGTCAGTCTTAAAACGGCTATATATTTGAACGGACACTCTTTCAGGAATTGACTATATTAACAAATTAACCACAACCTTTTCATTAAAAAAAAAAATAAAGAATGATAGAAATAATGATATAAATCTTTAATAAATTCCCTCGCTCTTTGTCTTCACTTTGAAGCTCCCTCTCTATCTTCTGCTGCAACCCAGCACCAACGCACGGCGGGGCAAAAACAAGACTGCAAGAACGGCATAGCTATGTAATTAGTTTTTTATTGTTGACCAAAAAGGGCGACCGAATCGTGGCGCAAAGAAGACCCAAGGCCCCAAACATCCGGTGATGTGACATCCGAGGTATATTTCAGATCCCCGCCTCCCATCCATCTAGCGAAAGAACAATGGATGCCACAATAACGAGAAGAGAGAAACAGGACGTATCAGCTCGGAGATCTAAGTCTTTCAAGTAATGGGCTTTTCGGTGGATGATCTGGATGATCGCTCGGATGTGGGTATGGATAAAAGCAGTGCGGATATTTATTACTTATCGTTCAACCGAACAAATATGAACACTTATGCGATAGTTACGGATATCCGTAATTTTTTTTGATACGGATAATAAAATAGATATCTTAGATATCAAATTTTAGTAATATCATCGATATCCGCGGATATCGGATAATCCGTTAGTATCGGATATATCCGGATATTATTGACGGATATTATCCGGATATTATTCAAACGACTTTGGATGGAGAAATGATCAAAATGATATAGATCTCAAAAGTTTGAAACTTTGTTGTTTACAACTTTTTCATTTGAAATCATTTAGTGCTTCAAAATGCTATTTGAATTTCAATTTCGAAATGGTTAAAGAACGTGTTTGCTAAAACTTGTAATGCTCTTTTCGAATATCTCAAATTTAATAAAAAAATTTCTAAAATTTCTAAAATCATGTTCTATCAATTTATTGTGCGGTTATAGCTATATTGTGTTCATCTTTTCATGTGTATTCTATCTATTTGAAATTTTGAAAGATGCAACCACAAGCGTCATTTTCAAACATTAAATGAGAGAAAAAGTCATGAGACATAAAAGTTGTAAAACTCATCAAGATCTACAATTTTTATTTTGGTCATTTGTTCATCGAGATTATGTAGTAACATTGTTCATCTATTTACATCTCTCGTAGTTTCATAAACTTATGTCGTGAATAATGTTTACCACTATGTCGGATGAACAAATGACTAAAATAAAAGTTAGATCTCAGAATGATTTTTTATAATTGGAAACTTTTTATTTGAAATCATCTTGTCAAGGAAAACTACGTTTGAATTTCTCAAAAAGAAATTTGGGGAAACGAGGAGAAGGATGGAGAAACAAGCAAAATGAAAGTTTTAGAGGTTTTATGAAACTTTGTTGATTACAACATTTTCATTAAATTTGTTTAGGGCCTCAAACAATAATTTTTGTGAGTTTACAATGTCTCGAATTGTGATATTTGGAATTGGACAAAATATCACGAAAAAGCAATCCTCTATACCTTGGCTAGAGGTCCTCGGCCAGCTTCTTATAAGTTCTGTGCATGGATATATATATATATATATATATATATATATATATATATATATATATATATATATATATATATATATATATATATATATATATATATGCTTTTACTCAATATCCGAATAGATACACCAATCGATTCATACCGTATTGATACTCATTATTCAGATCCGCGAGTCAATCCGTATTCAGATATGTATCAACGCTATCCGTGTCGAATCCGAATGCGAAATATGAAACACAAATATAATATGAGTGATATTATATTATCCGATCGCTTTCATCCATAGATGTGGGGGACGAGGGATCCTCATCCGTCGGGGTTCAGATAGGAGACTGGTTGGAGAAGTTTTTTTTTTTGCGTTTTAGACCTCAAAATGAGATGAGGGATGGGATAGGATGTTGGCTGGAGTTGCCCTAAGTCTTTCAGGTAATGGGAAATCTGAATATATTTTGCATCAGTTTTTATACTTATACAAATAAAAGTCCTGCGGACACATGTGATATTTGACTTTTAAGTTCAAATTTTAGTCAATAACACAAATAGTTAGTATACCTTGACATTTTTCAATTTACACTCTAAGTGGTGATATGAGGTTGCAGGTTACTAATCTCATTGATTAGTTGCTTTGCTTTTATGTGGTGTGTGCATGCTCTTTTCGAATATCTTGAGTTCACCTTCAGAAATGATGCAGAGGCGGTATCATCTCATGTGACACATAGTGGTAACAAGATGCAACCACAAGTAGATGAGAGTCACGAGACATTGTGCAAGGGGCGTTACCGTTCCACGAAGTTGCTTTTGGCATCTATTACTCACAGGTTCTTATGTCTATCGTTTCATGCATCAGTTAAGGTCAGAATGATTTTTGCCTTACTGCTTTGCACAACACAAACTAACATAAAAAGAAATTCAGGGATTGGAGGAGGATGACTGCATCAGATGCTGCTTGAAGGTTTCCAAATGCATATACAGTTCAAACAAATAAAGCGGAACAACTAATGTGAGTTTACAATGAGGTACACTAATCTTGATTAGATCACAAAAAGCAATCACCTTGGCGAGGTCCTCGGCCAGCTTCTTATACGTCTGTGCATGGCCCGTATTTCGTTAAGAGGGAGAAGGAATTGTTACACAGTTGTTAGCGTGGCACCCGCCACAGACACCAATCGGTGATCCGCACGTGCCCTGTCAACCTGCGGAAACATGATTTGAGTAATTATACAACAAACGCTTTTGCGAGTCGTGCTCCTTGACCAATTTGGTCTTTGCCAACACCAGAATCGCAGCGAAATCAATTGGTTATCAGTTAAGCAAGACACCGCCAAAACCAACAAAATTTAGAGCAGCAAGTATAGACGGGCAATGGGCCGGCCCGGCCCAGCATGGCACGGGCCCATGCCCGGCACGACCCGATTGGGGTCGGGCTAGCACGTCACACCGTGCCCCCCCGGGCCATGCCTTATAGGCCCACGGGCCTGGCCAGCGGCCCAGGCATGGCACTATGGGCCGTTTTTCAAGCCGGGCTGGCCCGTGAAGAACAGTGAAAATAGCAGGCCGTGCCGGCCCACGGCCCACTGTGCAGCTGAAGATAGAGAGGGGAAGCGGCGAGGAGTAGAGCAGAGAAGGGGAGGAGAGTCGCGCGCGCCCTGCCTCCCGACTGGCGAGCAGTCGTGAGGGGCCCCGAGCCCACGGCGGCGCACCAGACCGGCGGAGTGGAGTAGGTGAGGAGCCTAGCGAGGTAGCGACCGGGCGCACCCGAGGCTGGCGCGCTCGCTCCCATGGGCCGGTCCAAGCCAACCGCGGTAGGCGGCGGCGCATCCCAAGGGCCACGGCGAGAGCTGAGAGAAGGAAAGGGAAGGATGAAGGAGGAGCGAGTGTGTGACTCCCCCGCGAGTGCGGGGAGGAGGCGAGGAGCCGAGTGCGCGGCGTGGGGGAAAGGGGTCCGGGGAGGAGGCACTGTGGCCTATATGGCTTTTTGGCAAGCAGCAAGTGAGGTGCACAGGTGCTAGGGTGCTAGTTGTGGGCTGGGCTGTTGCTCGCTCTGCTCCTCGGGCCTTCCTCATCGGGCTTTTGCATGCGGGCCTTTGCCATTTCGGGCCGACCGAAGTGGCCGACCGACATGCCTGAGAAGCGGCCTACCCAGGCCCGCTGACCACCGGGCCTGGCCATGCTTGGGCCGGGGTAAAAAAACGGGCCTCGTGCCGGGCTGACGGGCTCGGGCTGCGTGCCCATATATAGTAGCAAGCAAGCAGCCAGGTGATGAGGCAAGGTACTCTCACAGTCTCACATTGTCATCCAGTTCGGTGAGGAATCGTGTGTCAGCGCCGTGGAGAGCCAGCTCGAGCTTGGCGTCCATGTCAGCGAGCTCGTCGTCGAGGCGATCACTATCCACCAACCTCCGTCATAGCCGCGTGGCCTAAAGCTCGAGGCGCAAGGCCCCGTCCGCCAGGGCCATGGCCATGATCTTGTGCGCCATTGCAGTTGTCGTACAGGTCCGACCGCAGCACAGCCGCAATGGCGTCCGGCACCTCCACCGCGGGCACGGGCTTAGTCCCCAGGGCCATAGGCGTGGCAGTGCGCAGGCGGCGATGTGACCTGACCTGCTCCCCGCCAAGCGACGGCTTCTCTATATAAGTAGGAAAAAGAAGTGGAAGGAATTCGTGTAGGAGTTGATTTGATTCTCTGATAGGAGCTGAAGTCCTCGTACGATTCGACTCGATTCCAAATTATGATTCGATTGAATTCCAAATTCTGATTCGATTCTGATTCCGACTCACTCGGCCAACACGACTTCGTCGGCTTCTCGGAAGAACGCGGCCTCAAGTGTGGCGGCATAGGGCCCCAGGAGGAGGCGGAGCATCCCGGACGATGAAAGGATTCCTCGACCTGAGCGACGCGGCTATGGTGGCAGCGACCAGCACAGGCGAGGGGATGTCGGCTCACGTAGCTCTCGCTCGTCTCCAAGGTCTGCTCGGAGCTAGAGGTCCACCTCGGTATCGCTGACCGCGTCCTCGCCGAGTTCGTTGTCAACCTCGATCGCGCCTCCGCCTCCGCCGCCTCCTTCGCCGCCGCGCTTAGGGACCAGGGCGTCGAGCTGCCGGACTACCTAGTCCGCTCCCTCCATGCCGTCATCACCGCCATCCCCGTCATCAACGGCGGCGCTGAGTGACCGCAGAAGCGACGCGTCGGCGGGTCATGGTATATTTTTTTATCGAGAGGATCGACGAGATCACGGTCACGGGACTAGAGTGGGTGTGAGCCAGTGAGTGGGCCGGCAGCGATGACACGTGAGCCGACATGAGCAAGTGGGCCGGCGTTTGGGCCCGAATAGAATGGGTTAAGTTATTATTCATATTCAAATGAAATGCATACTCTTAATGAGATAAACGATGAGTATCCAAAGTACGGTTTATAGTACTTGGGTGCCTGCCTGTCATGACATTCCGATGACCAAGGAAGATCATGACTACACATACATGTTCCTCACGAGCTAAACGTATCCTAAAAGAAGACATTGGATGGATTGGAGACAAGCTCGATACTTCGATAAGGAGATAAAGATGGATGTTACGATTTGGAACTTGGGAAAAGAAATCTAACTGTGCATTAGTGTTTACTTTATTTTTATCTAACCATGTGATAGGGTGGTTAGGGCCTAAGGTTAGGTTGGCAACATTGTAACAATTAAAAATATTCCACGGGCACTCTGTCGTGTGTGGACACTCTGTGGGGTTGATTCCGGCCTGAAGCTTACAGGTTCTATTTTGGCTTTGTGTGGTTTGACGAACACTCCGCCACTCCGTCACAGGTGACGGATACTCCACCAAAAGATGGATGCTCTCGAGTTCTCTGGAAATTAAATTTATTGCTTGACGTACACTCTGTCTCCGTCCATGGACACTCCGCCATTTTACTCAGAGAGGGTGTAAGTGCTTTGAACTTGATCAAATGACAGACCCTCCGCCGGTAGGTCAACAAAACCTATGTTCTTGGTTTTGAGCTTGATCAAATTCTAGTATGAGGATGGGTTTCACTATGCATGTGCAAGATACTTACATGGTTGTTTGGGTGACATGATAGGCTTATTATGGCTAGGTTTTGAACTATGGTTATCAAGTGCAACTAGTGATTTGGAATTTAAACTAAAATTATGATAACTTGAGGATTAATTCTTGAAATTGGGCATGGCAACTTAGCAAACAAGCCATTTGGTGGGTTCCTTGCCACCAAGATAGAAGATAAGACCTTGGACGACCTTGCTTCCAAGCCATAGAGATGGATTTGGCGATTCTTGCAAAAATTCCATAAAATCCATACGAGAGAGAGATTAGAGAAAATGTGAGAGGATTGAGTTGTAGCAACTCTTGATCTTACTCTTGGGACGATGGAGCAACTTCCAAACCTCATGATCCAATCATGCATGGAGAGAAACTTGAGTTAGGGTTTGGGATTGAGCTCAAGAAAATGAGAAGAGAGAGCTCTTGAGCTAACCATGAGATGATGGAGATGAAGGGGCTCATGGTCTTGATCTTGGGCTGATCTTGCTGCCCTTTCCTCCCTTGATTTCTCATCCCTTCTCCTCCTTCTCCACTTTATCACACTAGTTCATCCTTTCCTTGCTCTTGTTCTTATTCTAAAGAGAGAGAGGGAGTGAGTGAAATGAGAGAGGATGAGTGGAGCTGAGGCTCAGCAACCGAAGAATATCTCATTCACGTGTTGACATGTGGGCCATACCAGTGAGTGGAAAACAACTCACTCTCCACTTATTCTGCTATCTCTATGAAATGACAGATAGTCCGTTGGATATGGTGGAACCTTGAGCCAATTCTCTGATTTTGAGAAATTGATTTAGAGATTGGGATTTTAGCATTGGGGCCAATCTTTATGTCCCATAGATAGACTATCACTTATGAAGGGATTAGGAACAATGATTAGCATCCCTAGGAGAACATTCTCTCAATGTTGACTTAGTTTGACCGGCGTTGACTTTGGTTGATTGGAGGGATGTAAAACGATTGAGCGATGAATTTGGAGTCCTTGTCCTAGTAGAGAAAGCTAGGAGTTGATAAAGCTATAATTGAGAGCTTGAGAACCTTTGTTGGATGATTTCAAAGGATTTTTATTAAAGGATTTTATTTGGAATGACTTTGGGTCATGAGTCATGACATTGTGTCACTTGTCAACAGGCTAAACCAGATAGGAGCAAGTACCTAGGTTTGCTCCAGCCATTACCTGTTCCTACAGTTGCTTGGGATATTATTTCAATGGACTTTGTTGAGGCTCTACCTCCATCTGGTTCAGCTAATGCCATTTTGGTTGTGATTGATAAATTTACAAAATTTGGCCACTTATTGCCACTGCATCACCCATTTACTGCTCAGACAGTTGCCTGGCTCTTTATGGATCAAGTGTACCATTTACATGGTCTCCCATCAGCCATCATCTCTGAGAGAGATAAGATTTTCACGTGCTTTATTGTTTCAGTTAGCTGGCACTGAATTGCGTTATAACACTGCGTATCATCCGCAGAGTGACGGCCAAACAAAACGTATGAATCAGTGTCTTGAGACGTTGCTTTGTTCATGCATGCCCAACAAAAATGGAAGCAATGGTCTCCCTGGCTGAGTTCTGGTATAACTCAAGTTTCCACTCAGCTCTTGGCAGAACACCATTTGACGTTTTTTGTATGGATACAGTCATCGTCATCTTGGATTATCTCCTCATGTTGTCGGTGTTGCTATTCTTGATCTTAATGAGTGGCTGTCAGAAAGATCACTTCTGCAAGATCTTGTTCGCCAACACCTGCTCCGTGCTCAGGCAAGAATGAAAAAGCAATCTGACAAGAATCGTTCTGAACGCACATTCTAGGTTAGAGATTAGGTCTTCCTGAAATTACAACCTTAGACTCAGACGTCAGTTGCTCGGCGTTCCAGACAGAAATTTGTCTTCTGATTTTTTTTGGGCCATACAAGATAGAAGCTCTTAGACTCAGACGTCAGTTGCTCGGCGTTCCAGACAGAAATTTGTCTTCTGATTTTTTGGGCCATACAAGATAGAAGCTCAAGTTGGGGCTGTAGCATATAAATTGGCGTTGCCTGTTACTTCACAAGTCCACCCGGTCTTCCACGTCTACCAGCTCAAGAAGTCTCGTGGCAACGAGCCGGTAACATCATCAGCCTTAGCTTCCTCTGGCGTTGAGTTTCCTGAAGAAATTCTGTAACGCCACAGGACCTCAGGTGATCATCCGGTGGAGCGGGTCTTGATCAAGTGGTATATGCCGGCCTTGCCCGCCACCTGGGAGCCCTATGAGTAGTTTCACTAGCAGTTTCCGTGCATACCGGTATTGGGACATGCTGGTTCCCAATAGTGAGGGAATGTTAACACAGTTCCCAGTCCGACAACCGTTCCAAGCTTTGAACCTGAAGCTGTCCGTGCGCCCAGGCCGGTTCGCGAACGCAAGCCCAACTCCTTTGTTGCTAGCGCAGAATGGCTGTAATGGGATAGAGTACTTAAGGAGAAGTAAGAGGGGAGGAGAGTATCATGAAAGTTGTAACAAACAATTGAATCTACAATCCTGTCCTCATCTATTCTTCTTGCCGTGTTCTACCTCCTTGCTCCCCAAGCTATCGCTAACACAAATCCAGTTCAATACCCACTTGGTCAAGTATGGGCTGGCCCCATCTACTTGGTCATGTCCGTTCCGGTTCCAATTCCATACCGGCGTCGAAATTCTGAGCCACCACACCATTCTTGTCCGCATCCTTCGACGCGTCGAAATTCTGAGCCACCACACCATTCTTGTCCGCATCCTTCGACCCGCCCTCGCCTGCTCGCTGCACGGCTGCACCTACAGTCCGCGCCGGCGTCAGCCATCGCGAAAACGTGACCCCCCGCCCGTATCGACTGACCGTAAGAACGGAAGAACCCACCAATCGATCCCCCTTAAAAGAGAGGATACTTAGCAAACAAGCCATCGGTAGCCGTGTCCACGTCGCCAGCCCCGCACCCCCCCGGCCTTAACGTTCCCCCTGCCGCGCCACGCAACGCTTGCATATAGGAACATATACGGAGTAGTATTTCACATCCTCTGACCGCCGCCCACCACCGAAGAAACCACCGGAGCGTGCGGTGGTGATGATGATGATGACCACACCCGCTGCTCGGGGTGCGCTCGGCGCGTGAGACGGCGAGACCGTGAGAGAGGGCAGGGCAGGGAAGGACACCGCCGCGGCCCTGGCCGACGCCCACATCAGCTTCCGCGTCAGCTATTTTACTGCGGCCCGCATGCATCCGGCTCGCCTTTCCGCTCACCGCCCGCCGCTTCTTGTCCCCCGTGCCTGGCCTCCCTCGTTCCGCCGATTCAGCTCTCCTTCCCAGACACGGGCATCGAGTCACTCATGCATAGTAGTGTTCGCACGGCGTTCCGCCCGTGGCCCGTCTTGAGAAACTGAACAGAGAGAGAGAGAGAGAGAGAGCAGTAGCGAGAGCGCGGAGTGGGTCGTCCCTGGACTGGACACGAGCGCGCGGAAGAGGTTGCCGGCGGCTGTAGACCCTCACGGCGATGGATATCACGGAGGTGACGGTGGTACACCACGCAGCGCTCGTGCTGGCGGCGCTCTGGGCCGCCGCGGCTGCCGGCTGGGCGCACCCAGCGCTCTTCCTCGTCGCGCTCCTCTACATATTTGCGGTGAGTGCGCATGCTCCATCCACCCGCCCGCCCGAGTCTCTCTCCCCCCCGAGAACTCCATGAATTAGTCAAACTCTGGCTCCCGTTTCTTTACTGCTACATTTGGGTGTTCGATTTGTATATTGCTCCTCTTTTTTTTGTGTGGGCTTCCATATATTCCCCTCCTTGTTTTCAACTCAGCATCATTGTTATGAGTAGGATTATTAGAGTTAAATTCAGGAGCACGCTGCATTGTTATGAATAGGGTTAGAGTTAAATTCACGAACACGCTGTCTTTGTTTCCTGATCAACTCATTAACGCATGAGAACGTCATGTCTGACCAAAACGGGCCTTGCCATAGCGTTGATGAAAGCAAATCGTTATCATACTTAAGATGCTGGAGATATTCATGTTCATAAGTTTGGTCGATTGAAGGATGATACACGCTTTCTATGATCCTCTGTCTTTTACATCCAATCGTGTAGAAAGAATTTGGAAAGTT